TAACAATGACAATTAAAAAACACCGCTAGGTTGGAACTTTTTGAGGGCAACAAATGTCCTTCTGTTCACTGTTGCACCCATAGGCATTATGTTATTTAGTATAGTTAATCAATATTTGTTGAGTGAATAAATGGATACCAAGTTTGTTGCATGAATGAATAACAATGGATAGTAATTTCAGCACTATCTATCAAAGGATTATGACAGTCAAGTAAAAATGGATATCTAACTACGTCTTGTAAGCTGAACAAATTTAAGGTGTTCCTACTGTTATATTTCAACCAAAGAAGCTGGCTCAATAATCTTTGCTCTTAATTGCATTTATAAATACATCTATAGCATTTTGAATCATTCCATATGCTTTCATCTGTTTAGACATCAACTAATTAAAGACTGTTTAGCTCTAAATAGCTTTAAATACTTTAAACTAGAAATATCTTTTCCCCATCTTGATATCTAATTAATTTTTTAAAACGAATTCAGTGCTACAGCCCAGACATATGAACTATTAGGTTGACTATCACAATATTTTATCATTAGGTTGACTATCATAATATTTTATTATTTTAAGAAACAGGATTTTTTTGGAAGCTCTGTATTTTTCTTAACCTGGTATGAGTTGTTAAATGCTGTCACAAGAGAGCCTTCAATTTGATGTATTGGGCATATTATCACAGGGAAGTGTATTATCATATGGCATTATGACACTTGAACTCCAGGGGGAAATTTGTGTAGAGTGGCTGGCCAATATGTTCTAGCCATCTTCCTGAAGCTGCCTAATGCTTGCTGTGTTTTGACCCCAATTCTCCCAAAGCACATTTTTCCTCCCTCCCATTATGTTTCCAACTTCCTCTGATGCATCATTAAAAGTTGGGACAGATACTAGGAGACTATAAAGCTGTTTCTTTGGATTTCACATGTAATTCTACCTCGACTTACAAAAAGTGAATGAACAACTATTCTCATATAACTAAAGAATAGCTTTAATGAAATATATCTAATTTTTCAAATCATGTAGTTAGAACTTCATATAATAAATTCAATTCATGCTATTGTAGTTTAAACCCATTTTGTTTACTGACCCGAGAGAAAAAAAGAAAGCTAGTCATGATATCCCAAAATTTTATACATGATAGCTCCATTATAACAAATCTGTTTGCCTTATACAGATCTGGATATAACATGAACCAAATTATGTCTTCGAATGTAACATAAAAGAGAAAAATGGTTGTCCCAAGTGCCAAAATAGTAGCTAAGAGGGCTTCCCTAGCACTTGGAAGACTTTTAGATCACTTCTTAGAATACACAATATGTGCTCTCGAGAAGCAGAAGTGTTCACCAGCTGGGCACAGTGGTGCACACCTGTAATTTCAGCATTTTGGGAGGCCAAGGCAGGTGGATCACTTGAGGTCAGGAGTTCAAGACCAGCCTGGCCAACATGGTGAAACCTCGTCTCTACTAAAAATACAAAAATTAGCCAGGTCTGGTGGTTGGCACCTGTAATCCCAGCTACTTGAAGACTGAGGCACGAGAATCACTTGAACATGGGAGGTGGCGGTTGCAGTGAGCTGATATGGCACCACTACATTCCAGCCTAGGCAACAGAGCGAGACTCTGTCTCAAAAAAAGAGTAAACCTATGGGTCCCAAGTTTCTTGTCAGATACCTTGAAATCACACCTTGTCTTTATGGATGTTTCCAGAATGCTCCTCTCCCACAAGCTCCCTCCATTAACACCTGTTTATTCCCTCTCTCTCAAAATTTGCTCTCATTGAACAGCACCTTGTTGCTAAGCTATTGATGTTAAAACATGAGACTGGAAATTGAATTAGTCAACCCTATGGATGCTGTGAGTGCCTGCATATTTGAAATCTGGCAGCTGAGGCATCAAGTGAGTAACGTTTTCACTTTTCATTTAAATATCTGAGAATCACAGACACTACTTAAGCCCACTTGACAGGAACTCTTCATTCAGAAGAAAAAGACCAATGTTGGGAAATTTCAGTCTCATGAGATTTGCCAGTCAGTCATGAATTTTCACAGTGACTTTTAGTCTAATTTTTGGCTGATTCTTTAAAGCAACATTGTCTGAAATAAAACATTTCAGTCAATTATTACAGCCATCATTCCTATTGCCACTCTCTTTCTCCCTACATTGTACCTGGACCTTTTGTGAAGCACTGATTTTTGTGTCTTGTGTTTTTCTAAAACGGGATTTTAAATGAAATGAAAGCCACATATCAACAAAAATCTATGATTCTGACAAAGCCGTGGGAGCTTTCCAAGGATTTAGAAACAGGCAGTTAACAATACATTAGGTATTACATTGTTTGGACCAGATTTCCCATCTGGGCAAAGCTTCTAATTTTCCAACTTGAAAATTCTATAAAGCCCATGTGGAAATTCTTGCTTAGAAGCTGACATATGGTTGATGGTGACAAAAGAACATATATCTATTTAGCAAATACACGTTTTTGTTTTAAAAATTAGTGCCATCTTTCAATGACTTTGGTGTAGCTTTTAAAAATATAATAGAACAAATAAATATGAGTATTAATACTTACACCAAACACGGAGGAACAAAAAAGTAATGGCCCAGAAAATGAGTTACTAAATAATTTACATGGATTTTTGAGTAAGGAAACATGAAAAATGAGATAACCTCCAAATGTAGGTGGTTTCTATTACTTCTGGTCGAAATCTGGATAGTCACACAGTGAGTGACATCATGCTGTTAGACTACAGGTACTAGGAGGTGGTTAAGAAAGTGGCAGAGGAAGCAGAGAATGCAGGAAGAAAGACCACCACATATGCACTGAAGAAGAGATGCTGTGGTTGAGATTTGTTTTCCTCTCCCCTGGGTTTCAGAGCCTAATTCTCGTTTCTTGTTCACATCACTGCTATGCTTTTATCCTAGTGTTTCCCAAACGCTCTGTAGGCAAACACAACTGCTTAGGAAGTGTTTTTGTTTTACTGAGCACCCGCTATCATTTGAGTATTGGAATAAAAGCCTTGAATCCTTAAACTTTATTTCAACATATGCTCATTGAAATTGGGCATCTCATAGGTGTAAGGCATGCTGTAACTATAACCCAGGACCTTTTCTTTGAATTTTCTATTTCTGTATCACTCGATCCTTGGTTTTATCTCCTAATCTGTGACCTTTTCTTTTCTATTTTCTTTTCTTTTCTTCCACACTTTTTTTAAAAAAAATGGACCCTTCTCTGATTGTTCCATCTCTATTTCTGATTTTGACACTTTTTTTCTGCTTAATACTTAGAGGTAACCCAATTTTCAAATAATAACATACTTAAGTGGAACCCTGAGCTTCCTCAGTAGCAACACTGTAATATGTATAGTACCTACCAACTGTTCTATTATCTGAAAGAATAAAGTGAAACTAACCTCCATTGTTTTATCATTTTACTTATATGTTTTGCTGGAAGGTAAAGAGCATAATTTAGATAACAAAACCTTTTGCAGAGTATTGCTGAGTATTATTTCACAGAGGCAGTGATGTCCTGCATTAATGAAACCAGGCAGGAAGTCAGCAGGTGAGGGTTCCTGCTCTTCTAAACACTGGGTAGCCTCCAGCAAATAACTGACACACTGTGTACCTCACCACAGTTTAGAATTTTGCAAAGTAGAGACATTATTTGATGTTATAACTGATATTGATTGAAGACTAATTAGATAATATATATAAAAAGGCTGTGTTCTTTAGAGAAGGAGACATAATCTGGCATTTTTGACTGTATCTGTTCATCAGATAATATGGTTTAGTGATCTTATTGTACAAAGAACAAAAAGTCTTTATTACCAAATTTAGCTTAGCTCTCTCCTTCTAGGCTGAAGAACTTTTGGAGCCAGCATCTACGGAGCCTAATTAATAATGGCCCCTTTTCCCATAGTCTCTTTGTTTGAACAGGTTTTTCTGAACCTTCCTGTTAGAGTAATGGATTTGATTTTCTCCAAAAGCCACAGGAAAACATTCTTAAGTCTCCTTCTAAGATTCTCCAATGATTTCAGAAGTAGAAGAGAATCAGAAATGTGTTTCCTACAAGAGGGAGGCCCCTAAAGAGAGCATCAAACATAAGAGAAAGAGACATCTTTTCTTAGTCTCCTTTAACAGGCACTATTCCTCAATGAGTCACTGAAGCAAGATGACATATCTGTCACGGGCCTTGAGGGGCAGATGTGAGAGTGTGGAAGCCTATTAAACATCCAATTTCATGGTATCCATGCTACAAAAATGAATTTTTTATCTTTTCACTGAATGAACCTACTCAGAAATTCTACCCATTCACTGGTACTATGAAATATAAACTCTCCTTCAGAGGCCTTTCACCTAGTAACCCATTTCCATTTACATATAAAGGTCTTCTGCTAATCTGCTCATTTCTTCAGAAATAATTCCTTTAAAATATGTAAGTGCATTTGTAACCCTGAGATGAACTCTGAGGACCTTCAAAAAGCAATATCTTCTATTACTAAGCATAATTCCAGATTCATTTAGTAATGCCACTCTCTCAGAAAGTTTCCCCCTTTTGCTCCTCAACTCCTTTTTATTGGGGTAAGAGAACATAAAAATATCTATTAGTAAACAAGTTTGAGAAGTCCTTCACTAATAAAGTCTATAGTAAATAACATAAAATAAATAGAAAGAAGTAATAAACTCAGTATTTTAGATTCATTTCCAGATTTTAGTCTAAACACATTGTGATCAAGTAGTCTCTACTCGTTTTCATGCATATATACTTATATATATATTTACATACACACATATATACTTAAACGTATATATTTAACAACATGGAATGGCAACATATCAAATGCTTAGATTCCGTGCAAACATATAATCCTTCCCATGAAGGAAACATGTTAATATCATGAAAACAAATCATGGAGAGTAACATGCAACAACTGAGGGCAGGAAAATGGGGTCAGGGCAGGGGAACAGGAGAAACACAAAGAATGTAAAGAACAAAAAGTGTCATTGACCTGATTTGTCAGAGTTGTTGCCTGTGATTGGAGTGATGGAGCAGCTGGGATTAGCCTTTGCGCTGTCCTTGGAAGAAACCATTTTGGGTTTATTTTTCGTTGCCTCTAGTGCTTTGACCTTCTTGGCATGTTTACTTCCTTTGTAGTGGGCCTCGGCCTGGCTCTACAAAGGAGAACAAATCAGGCTCATTTTTTGCTAATTACAAACACCACAATGGATGATCATGCAGGAAAAAAATACATTCGATCATAGGCACCACAGACATTTACAACTCAGTACCTGACTATGTTTTTGGCATTTCACGAAATGGCAGACCAGTTCCTAAGAGGGTATAGCATATCGAAACCTCCTATACAATACAAAGGACCTGCATCTTTAAAAAACCAGGCATTATGTGAATGGAAAAAGGGATTTAGGGCAAAACTGTGATGAAGGTGAGCTTTGTCATCAGTGCCCTCCCACCAGTGCCTATTGGGGCTACTTTTGAAACACTGACTGGCAGCAGCAGCTTTGAGTGTCCTACTCATGCATGTGGGTATGACCTTCCACAGTCATTTTACTTCAGCTAAAATCCTGTTTGCCACGTGTCTACTTTCTTCTGGGCTCTGCTTTGAGACCAACTGGTATGACAAAACAACAGGTTAATAGGTGATATTGAGTGAAAAATGACACTGAAGTTTTTGGAGAGATCTACATGCACTTCATGCATCGTTTTGATGATTCCAGTTACAAGAAGGGATAATATAAGCCACAAAGGAGGTAGAAACAAACTCTTGTTTCTGATCTCAAATGTGATTATGAAGTCCTAGTGAATAGTGTTAAATTCATTTATATGCAAAGCATATATAGAACTGTAACTTCAGTACTAGATCAAAAGGAAAAAGAAAGAGCAAGACAAAACACAAAAACAAATTACAACAAGCCTTGAAAACATGTAGTCAACTTACCAACATTTGGAAAATTTCTCTTTGCCTAAACAACAAGGCTTTTATCTTATTGGCATCTAGCATTAATATACACATTAACAAAAGAATCTAAGTATATTCACTTGAATTATATTTTGAAAAGACTGAAAAAATATAAACACACATTTGGTGAAAAGAAACAAAACTACACATATATGGTATATTAGCTTAGTTATAAAAGTGAATGATAAATCTCATGTAAAGCAAGTTGAACTCTTGTTAAGGGATTTCTAAAGAAATAATAACTTTAAAAAACATCAGTTTTCTTTATATACTTGTATGTGTTTGAAGAGGATTATATGAACCTTTCTATTCATGTAACTTTTGAGATTTGAGGAAAGGGATCCATATACACTGGTAGAGAAGAGTACGTTTCTGGTTGGAGGATTCAGGCCTAAGGAAAGGACTGATGCTAGAGTGCTGGAACAGTGAGGGCCATGGCTGGAGAGGGGCTTAGATAGGCCTCCTGGTGGAACATCAGCAACATGAGGTCAAGGAAACTAGATGTGTAGTTATGTAGAGGAGGTCACCACTGAGGTGAGATTCTCAAGCAGAGGCATGACGATACACACAAATTCCAAATGGGGAAGATTTCTGCAGCAGCTATGTATTACATGTTTGTTGGATTGAATATGAGAGAAAAGAGATGACACAGAAAGGAAGGCAGCAGACAGAATATATGATTCTTCTGGTAAAATCACTAATGGAGAATACGAATATAATATAGTCCCTGTTATAATAATATCATTGATTTCTTGAAGCCTTAGGTATTATCAGTCCTGCTTATGCCCTTTGCTTAAGTGGAACCATTTCACTGCTAACTACTAGAGATGAAGCACTCTTCTAACATGTCATGATTAGACTAAGCCATCTAAGGTTGATTTTTGTGTGTCGTTGGAAGTGTTTCTTCTGGCTTTCCTGCTTGTTTCACTCTAGCTCACCAGGACATGTTGCTTTGCTATCTTCAGACATCCAGCGATAGCTAGTTCAGCAGAACTGGTGATGGTGAGCAGCATTTCAATGCCAGCATTACTTCCAGATCTTGGTTGGGAATAAGCCTACTTTATCCTAAGCTCATAAATAGTGATGTTGAATTTGTTCATGTCAAAGATTATGAATGATAAAATCACAAGTGTTAAGGGTCATGAAGTGAGTTAAACATCATATCCATGTATTTGCTGTCCCATTTGAGTGGAAGCTTGATGATAGATTCATGTCACAGTCTGTTTTTCAATGTACCTTGATTCTGCTGTGTTATTTCTTGTAGAGTGGCAGGTGGTTTGGGAAAAAAAGTATTGCTTTGGTAGTAGTGTAATAAAGGATACATTTTGGACATACTAGTGATTTCCCTAGCATATAACCCAGATCACCCAAGGTATATAGCCTTGTGCTGAATATACATGGTCCCTAAATCCCTGAATAAATATCTTTTTAGATCTTCATTGACACTACATTGCTCTTATTTGGTTTCCTCAAGGACTTCTCATGTTGTTCTCTGTCAAGTTGGGGAAGAAATATCATGGGGGGAGAAAAGTATAACATTATTTTATGGCCTTTATTTATTACCAACCAATAATGTTTAAATCCATCTAATATGGTTTGGTAGTTGTACATTAAGAAAATATGCAAATAAAAATTAAAATTTGATAATGTAATATAATACTATAATAATTAATTTTTTTACAGATACAGTTGATCTTTATATATGGATTCTGTATTTGAGAATTTGTCTATTTGCTAATATTTATTGTAACCCTAATATTAGACTCATGGTGTTCTTATGGTCCATATTTTGGACCTGCACAGCACAGTGAAAAATTGGAATCTCCTGGTGTGCCCCACTGCACCCAAAATTTGAGTTATCCCAGTGAGGTCAAACAAGACCAAGTTCTGCCTTCTTGTTCTGGCTGTCATACTATAAAATGAGTGTCATTTAAAAAAATCCTATATATATATATATAAAAATTGTCCTTTAAGTTCTGGGGTACATGTGCAGAACACACAGGATCGTTGTATAGGTACATTCATGGCAAGGTGGTTTACTGTCTCCATCCTCCCCGCACCTATATCTGGCATTTTTCCCCATGTTATCCCTCCCCAACCTCCCTACTGTTCCTCTCCTATTCCCCCACAACAGACCCCAGTGTGTGATGCTCCACTCTCTGTGTCCATGTGTTCTCATTGTTCAACAGCAGCCTATGAGTGAGAACATGCAGTGTTTGATTTTCTGTTCTTGTGTCAGTTTGCTGAGAAGGATGGTTTCCAGATTCATCCATGTCCCTACAAAGGACACAAACTCATTGTTTTTTTATGGCTGCATAGTATTCCACAGTATATATGTGCCACATTTTCCTTGTCCAGTCTATCATCGATGGGCATTTGGGTTGATTCCAGGTCTTTGCTATTGTAAACAGTGTCACAATGATATGTGTGCATGTGTCTTTATACTAGAACAATTTATAATCCTTTGAATATAAACCCAGTAATGGGATTGCTGGGTCAAATAGAATTTCTATTTCTAGGTCCTTGAGGAATTGCCACACTGTCTTCCACAATGGTTGAGCTAATTTACACTCCCACCAACAGTGTAAAAGTGTTCCTATTTCTCCACATCCTCTCCAGCATCTGTCTTCAGATTTTTTAATGATCATCATTCTAACTTGAGTGACATGGTATCTCAATGTGGTTTTGATTTGCATTTCTCTAATGACCAGTGATGATGAGCATTTTTTCATATGTTTGCTGGCCTCATATGTCTTCTTTTGAAAAGTGTCTGTTCATATCCTTTGCCCACTTTTGAACAGGTTTGTTTTCTTGTAAATCTGTTTTAGTTCTTTGTAGATTCTCGATATTAGCCCTTTGTCAGATGGGTAGCATGCAAAATTTTTTCCATTATGTTGGTTGCTGGTTCACTCTAATGATTGTTTCTTTTGTTCTACAGAAACTCTGGTGTTTAATTAGATCCCATTTGTCTATTTTGGCTTTTGTTGTCAATGCTTTTGGTGTTTTAGTCATGAAGTCCTTGCCTATGACTATGTCCTGAATGGTTTTGCCTAGGTTTTCTTCTAGGGTTTTTATGGGGTTAGGTCTATGTTTAAGTCTTTAATCCATCTGGAATTAATTTTAGTGTAAGGTGTCAGGAAGGGGTCCAGTTTTTGCTTTCTTGCACATGGCAAGCCAGTTTTCCCAATACCATTTATTAAACAGGAAATCCTTTCCCCATTGCTTGTTTTTGTCAGTTTTTTCAAAGATCAAATGGTTGTAGATTTGTGGTGTTGCCTCTGAGGTCTCTGTTCATTTTCATTGGTCTGTATCTCTGTTTTGATACCAGTACCATGCTGTTTTGATTACTGTAGCCTAGTAGTATAGTTTGAAGTCAGGTAGCATGATGCCTCCAGTTTTGTTCTTTTTGCTTATGATTTTCCTGGATACATGGGCTCTTTTTTGGTTTTCTATGAAGTTTAAGGTGGTTTTTTTTCCAGTTCTGTGAAGAGGGTCATCAGTGGCTTGATGGGGATAGTGTTGAATCTATACATTACTTTGGGCAATATGGCCATTTTCACAATTTTGATTCTTCCTAACCACAAGCATGGAATGTTTCTCCATCTGTTTGTATCCTCTCTTATTTCCTTGAGCAGTGGTTTGTAGTTCTCCTTGAAGAAGCCCTTTACATCCTTTGTTAGTTGTATTCTTAGGTATTTTATTCTCTTTGTAGCAATTGTGAATGGGAGTTTATTCTTGATTTTGCTCTCTTTAAGTCTGTTATTGGTGTATAGGAATACTTGTGATTTCTGCACATTGATTTTGTATCCAGAGACTTTTCTGAAGTTGCTTATCAGTTTCAGGAGATTTTAGGCTGCGACAGTGGGGTCTTTTAAATATACAATCATGTCATCTGCAAATAGAGACAATTTGAGTATTCAATTAGGAAATTGAATACTCTATTTGTATTCAATTTCCTAATTGAATACTCTTTATTTCTTTTTCTTGCCTGATTGCTCTGGCTAGAACTTCCAATACTGTATTGAATAGGAGTGGTGAGAGAGGGCATCCTAGTGCCAGATTTCAAAGGGAATGTTTCCAGTTTTTGCCCATTCAGTATGATATTGGCTGTGGGTTTGTTGTAAATAGCTTTTATTATTTTGAGATACCTTCTGTTGATATCTAGTTTATTGAGAGTTTTTAGCATAAAGGGCT